GCGGAGGCCAGCGGAAGCGCGGCGGGAAGCGGAGGGGGAGTGGACGTGGGACGTCAGCACTCGGAGGCGGAGAAGGTGCCCAGGCCGCTGCCCTTTCCTCGCTTCCCCTCTCGGGGGCATCCTCGGAGGAGGCCCTCGCCGCCATCCCTGGACTCGCCTCGAAGTTCTGGTCAGAACGCCCCCCGCGAGAGGTCCTTGCGAGTTTCCCCAGGCACGTTTGGCTTCAGGGTTCCCCGAGTCGGCCATGTGGGGCGCTCCAGACAGGGCCCCCCCCCTCGCTCCCGGCGGACGCCGGCGGAAGCAAAGGCGGCGGCGGGTCCGCTGGCAGAAGCTCGGCGGCGGGCGGCGGCAGTAAATGCGACACGTCAACCTCGGCCAGGCAGGACCTGCTGGGGCACGGGGGGGAGGACAGAGGAAGAGAGGGGTGGGGAAAGGGACGGAGGAGGACGGAGGAGGAAGAGGAGGAGGATGAGGAAGAGGAGGAGGAGGAGGAGGAGGAAGCGGAGGAAGAGGAGGAGACATGCTTGAATGCAGGGCGTCTGGAGTCGGCCATGGCTCCTGCTCCACCGTGAGAGGGAGGGGTCTCGAGGGAAACGGGTCCTAAACTCCGGGGCTCTCCACAGGACCACATCCCCTGATCTTGAGCCGTGTTCCGGCGGCCCCGAGGTCCGTGTGGAGGGCCCAGGGGCCAGCAGACGGCGAAACACCTCCGGGACTTTGTTGCTTCGGGTGCCAGTTCTCTCTTGCTACGGCAGGTCCACGTCGAGACGACGTTGATGTCTGATATTGTGGGGATCGCTCCACCTTGAACAGTGGCGGCTTTCCACTGGCGCGGATCCTTGGGTGTCGGCCGAGTCTGGGCCACGGGCGGCGTTCAACCTTGGACGCTCGCGCCGGGGTCGCAGCCGCATCGAAACGGCACGAACTGGCCGTTGCCGCGCCCCCTCCCCCCGCATCCCCCCGCCCTCCGCCGCGCGCGCCAGGTGACCTACTGCGGCTTCGCGGCGGGGCCTCCCGGGTCCGAGGGGGATGGGTGCACGGGGCGGCGCAGGAGGCAGGGCGGCCTCAGGAGAGGTCCCAAACGGCTTCCGCCTCCCCCGCAGTCCGAGGGGGATGGGTGCACGGGGCGGCGCAGGAGGCAGGGCGGCCTCAGGAGAGGTCCCAAACGGCTTCCGCCTCCCCCGCAGTCTCATCGCCCTCTCCCCGCGGGCGCGCCCCCTTGCGCCGGCTGTGCAACTGCAGGTGGAGCTGTGTGTTGCTCCGAGCTCGTCTGGCCGTGGAGCAGCGCGTGCGGGCGTCGATCAAGGGTGTCCGCGGCTCGGTGGATTCGGCTGCGTCGCAGTCGGTTGCACTCGGTCGGTGCGGTTCGGTCGGCCGCCTGGCGTTACCGCGTCGCTGCGCCCTTCTGAGGCTGCTTGCGGCCTGTCGGCTTCGGCTTCGCTGTCGGTTCGGTCGGTCTTCGGGTTGTGCCGTCGCCGTGAGGCAGGGGCGCGGAGGAGGACGGGGGCACGGGGCGGGGGGAGAGGGAGAGCGGAGGGGGGGGCCAGGGCTAGTTTCGACTCCTCCGATTCGGTTCGACTCGGTTTCGATCGATTCCGATTCCGACTCGATTCGATTTCGGATTCCGGTTCGGATTCCGACTGCCGATTTGCGGCGATCCGATTCAATTCGATCGCCGATCCGACTTATCGATTCGATTCTGGGCTCTCCTGGGGGGCAGGGGGAAGAGCCGGTCTCGCCTCCCATCCCCACCCATGGGCAAAGTCGGTGGGGGAATGGGCTCAGGGGAGACCACCTCGACCCCCGATCGCCCATTCATCGCCGATTGGGGCCCACGGAATGTGTGCCGCCTGTCCCCTCGAGCGCGTGTCCGGAGCGCCCCGCCAGCGCCCTTCCTGCCGCCGCCGCTCTGGGCATGGGCCACCGCTGGCGCCAGGTCGCCAGCCGACGCGCCGTGCGGCCTGAGCGGCCGCGGCGGCAGCGGCTGCCCAGCTGAGGTGTGCGGCGACTTCGAGGAGAGGGCTCTTCCGCAGCGTCCTGCTCCTCCTCGTCCTGTTCCTGATCATCACCATTGTCTTCATCCACCTCCACCTCCTCCCTCCTCCTCCGCCCCCGCCTCCTCTTGCCCCGCTTCCCTCCTTGTCCTCCTCTTCAACCTCGGCCTCCTCATCATCCTCCCTCACTCCCTCCCTCCCTCCCTCCCTCTGCCTCCGTATCATCATCATCATCATCATCATCATCATCATCATCATCATCATCATCATCATCATCATCATCATCATCATCATCATCATCATCATCATCATCATCATCATCATCAATCATCGTCATCGTCATCCTCATCCTCATCCTCATCCTCATCCTCATCGTCATCATCATCATCATCATCATCATCATCATCATCATCATCATCATCATCATCATCCTCGTCATCATCATCATCCTCATCATCATCATCAGCATCAGCATCAGCATTATCATCACCATCACCATCATCACCATCAGCAGCAGCATCAGCAGCATCATCAGCAGCATCATCAGCATCAGCAGCATCATCATCATCAGCAGCAGCATCATTATCGTCATCACATCGTCATCATCATCATCATCCTCATCATCATCATCATCAAAATAATCATCATCATCATCGTCATCGTCAGCATCATCATCACTATCATAGATTAAGCGTTCGCACGGCTGCCCCTCGCCCTCGGCTCTCGTCCTCGGCCCGGCGGCACGGCGCGGCCTGGAGGGGCTTGCCCGCTGGCGTACGTTGCCCTCCTCGTTGAGGCGGCGGTCCACGACGCGGCGAAGTCGCCCAGGCGCACCGTGGCGGCGGTCGCGCGCTCCGCCATCTCCACGGCGATCTTCGCCTGCGGAGGTGGCTGGAGCCGCCCGCTGCAGACGACGATGCCGGGCGCGGTGCGAGTCTGTCGACATGCCTTGAGGGCCGCCCGCCACGTCCGCGGCCGCCGCGGCCAAGCGGCGGCGGCGCCGCCAGCGCCGCGCGGCGAGGTGGCGTGCAGGCGCTGGGGCCGAGGCTGAGGCTGGCGGGGAGGCTGCAGCGGCGCTGGCCGTTCGCCCGATGCTGGGGGAGGTCGAGGGTCTTGGTGCCAGGATGGACGTCGAGGACGGCGTCTTCGGTGACGATTGGCCGATGGCCTCGTGCGGCTGGCGCGCAAGCACCAGCCCATGGAGGTGGAGGCTGCGGCTGCTGCTGGTGTAACGTCGCGCCTGGGGATTCCGCGGGGGACGTCCGCACGGACGCGCTGCCAGCTCGGCGGCGGCGCCGGCGCGAGGAGCAGGCCGCTGGTCGGCTCGCGGAGCCCGCAGCTGGTGCTGCGAGCGGAGCGGGCAGGCCGGCAGCTGCGGGCGGCGCGCCACGGCCGGGGGCGCGGGCGCGGACGGCGCCGGCGCCAGGGGCGGCGGGCGGCGCGGTCACAGCCGCGGACGTCCTGGCCCTGCTCAGGGCCGATGGCATGCTCTTAGGGCTCCAGTTCCTTTCCTTCTCTCTTTTTCCACGCCTTTCCCTTCCCTCTCTGTATATTGTCCGATCGGCGGATCTTCACCATCACCATCATCGTCATCATCACCACCATCATCACCATCATCATCATCATCATCATCATCATCATCACCACCACCACCATCACTATCACCATCACCATCACCATCACCACCATCATCATCATCATCATCATCATCATCACCACCATCATCATCATCATCATCATCATCATCATCATCATCATCATCATCATAATCATCACCATTACCATCACCATCATCAGCAGCAGCATCATCACGACCACCATCACCACCACCATCATCACCACCATCGTCATCATCACCATCATCACCATCATCATCACCATCATCAACACCATCATCACCACCATTAGCATCATCATCATCATCATCATCATCACCACCATCACCATCAGCATCATCACCATCATGATCACCCTCTCATCATTCCTCCTCCTCCTCCTCCTCCTCCTCCTCCGCCTCCTCCTCCTCCTCTTTCTCTCCAGCCACCGTCGCTGTCTCCTCCTCGTCCTCCCTCCCTCCCTCCCTCCCTCCTTCCTCTGTCATCCCTCCCTCTCTCCGCTTCGCTGTGGGGCCCGCGGTACGGAGGGGAGAACTCCACGATCTCCTCCACCCCGTTCACCTCGTCGGAGACACAAAACTGGCCGGACGTCTGCGCAGAGCTCTAAGGTCCTAACAGGGCCCGATTCCCCACACCTTTTCTCCTCGGCGCGGAGCCGCCAGCGGTGGGGGGAGGGGGTTCCAGCGCCGACCGAAGAATCCGGCGTGAATCCGAAAGATTTCCCTCTGGCGAAAATGCTTGAGGGGGAGCGGCGACGACGACGACGACTTAAACTGGAAAGCTTCTCGCACATGCTGACAGGGTCGGCGGATTTCTGTTAACTCGATGTGGTTCAATGGCCTAGCACAGCTCACGATGCCCTTCATGAACTGAGTTCGCCAGCGTTGCGACTACGTAAAGTGTTTCGATGATCCATTCGATGTTGGGTCATCCTGTCTCCCGCGGCTCATGCCCTCGCCCGCATTCCTGTCCCCTCTGATTATCTGGCTGATCTCGGGCACGCGCTCGAGCGCATGCTTTGCTCAATCCAAAATGGGCGCGACCACGCAAGGTGCAATTTCTGTGCTAGCGCGTCGTTTTGAAGCATCGTGTTATACGCGCTCATCACCTTCGCAAAGTAATGACACGTACGTGGCATGACGAACAGCAGCCCAAGCATCGTCATTCAGAATCGTTTGACTATGTGATTGATCATGGCACCTACGCTCATCATCCTCATCGGCATCATCATCAGCAGCATCATCATCATCATCGTCATCATCACCATCATCACCAATATCATATTCATCTTCACAGCATCATCCCCATCACCATCATCATCCCCATCAGAGTCATCTGAATCATCACTCGTCCTCCTGCAACTCTTCTTTTTCCATTACCGTTCTGGCCCAGGTGGTGGCATTGTGTTTCGGCGTACAGCGTCTGTATGGTACATAATTTGCCGTGCCCGTGTGGTCATCAGTTGCACGTCCCGCACTCGAGCGAAATAGCATGTACCAGTTGTAACATTACCCAGGTTGCCCGATGCCATGTACCAAAAAGTAGGTGGTTGCCCTGAGGCCGATGGCCGAGGGGTGGACAAGTTGCTTAGCGACCTCGACAACAGATTGTCATTTCATGACAACAGGTGGATGTGCCTCACCCAACCTGAGAGGGCCACCCTGTGCTTGGGACCAGTCGCACGCCTCGAAGTCACCATTGTGAAGGCGAGGAACATAATACCCAACGAGGCCAATGGGATGCAAAGGTTCTTGGCACCTCCGCAACCATTTGTCAGAGTGTATTTGGACGACAAGGAGGTGTACGAGGGCTTTCGCTCGAGCAATACGCGCAACCCGACGTTTCATGACAAGTGTGAGGTCGACGCTACTGCGGCGAAATCGATTGTGCGATTTCACGTGTACGACAAAGACATCGAAGATGAGGAGGCTAAAGATGTGTTGAAGGGGAACATGACCAAGTTTTCAGTGGCGAACGGTAAGTCGTCTTCGCTGCGCCACTCCCTCGGTTTCGTAGAGATTTGTCTCGCGGACATGCCATTCGACCAGGAAATATCAGGCTGGTTGGAGTTGCGTTTTCCCATGCACCTGCAAGGCACAAACAGGATGCGCTACCAGCAGCACTGCGAGTCACGCGAAGATGTGTTGCACGAGAGGATGATAGAAAAGTCTAAAGGGCACACTTCGGTAAACCACTCGCACAAGGCGGCTTTCGTGCAAACGTCGAAGAAGGCCGGCAAGAAACAATCGGGGGTTAGCATGATGAAAAGCATAATGGGCAGATTCCGTGACCAACCGTCATCATCAGCGGGTGAAGGAGCTTCAGAAATGTCCCAGCTCAACGCAGGCGAATTGTTTGTCAAGATGAGGTTAGTGAGGGTCGCGCCGTCGAAATACGACGTCATGTACTCACATGCCCTTCAGCCCCCCGCGTTGTCTTTCAATCCTGTCGTTCAAGAAGATGCGCTCCCAGAGTTCGATATTCAGGAGTTGTTCGACGATGCAATAGACATCAAGTTTGCGGTCATCGACGATTTCGTGCTTTGTGCCGCCAGCTACGTATGGTATATACTCAATTGGCACAGCAGGGCCGTCTCTGGTCTTATCACATTGTGTCTCTTGCTGGCTTGTTGGAGACCATACCTCATCAACCCGTTCATGTATGGCATAATGGCAGCGCTCTTATCCGTCAGCTTGCGGCACGTCACGCCACCTTCCCAATTCAGTAGATTGGGTGGCGATTGTGCGAGGGGCGCACACGAAATTGTAGCGTGCGACACCTTGTGCCCCAGGCATGGGAGAGCCGTAGTACGTGGCCCACTCTTCCGCGTCATGTCGGTGTGCCTCCCCTCGGCGTCGACCTCGTCCAGTCCTAGCGTTCCCTTTATCTCCACATTCCTTCTGCACCAGCTCCTCGCCGTCTGTCTTCGTTTCTCCTGCCCATCCTTTGTGTGGCGACGGTTGGAATAAAGCCCTAACGGAAGTAACATGTGACACTTCGACCGTCTTTGGGCTGTTTTGGGATTCGTTGAGGCAATCATAGGTCATGGGGAGAGGCGGGGAGGATGAGGAGGATGAGGGGAATGGTGGTGATGTTGGTAACGATGGGGAGGAGAAAGAGGAAGGACGTAACATGTGAAACTTAGTTTCCCGAGTCCACTTGACGATCGCAAGCGGTTACCTCCCGAGTGGCTGACCAGCCCGAGGAAGCAGCGGCTCTCGAGCCAGCGCAGCACTCAGTGAGGCGGTGGTTCGAGCGACGCCAGGAGGCTGCAACATGTAACAGATTCGTCTCTAGTCTTGAAGCGGTTGTTCTGCGTGTTGTTTCGGTTGCCTTGGGGTCGTATTGGGCTGCAGTGAGACAGTCTGGGACGGGGCAGCAGATGAGGAAAATGCTGATGAGGAGGAGGAGCCAGGAGGAGAAGATGGAAGAGGAAGGTGGTAACGTGTGGCCCATTTTGTCGGCAATCCCCGATAAATACGTCGTAGGTTTGGGGGGCGAGATCGAAGTGAACCAGAATCTCCCAACCAGGAATTCTGTTTCGGTTTCACTTCGTGTCGTGTGTGGCGCGCTTGCGGGCGAGGCGAAGTTGCGCAAGGGCGAAGCAGGTCCCAAGCCTGATCAGGGCAGGTTGCCATCAGATTGTTCCACCGCTCCGCTCCGGCGGGCGGTGGCTTCCAGGCTGTCCCGCGGTTGTGCCGTGATTGTCCCGCGGATGGCCCGCGGTTGTACCCATGATTGTCCCGTTGTTGTCCCAATGGTTGCATTGTGATTCTCTCATGGTTGCCCCGATGGTTGTCCCGTCATTGCCCCGTAGTTGTCCCGTGGTTGCTTTTGAGTTGTCCGACAGTTGCCCCTTGGTTGCCTTGTGGTTGCCCCGTTGTCCCGTGGTTATCCCATGATTATCTCGTGGTGGTCCCTTGATTGTCTTGTGGCTGTCCCGCGGTTATCCCATGGTTATTCCATGTTTGTTTTGTGGTTGTCCTGTGGTTGTCCCATGGTTGTCCCGCAGTGGACCCGTGGTGGTCCCGTGGTTGTCCTGTGTTGTTTTGTTGTGGTTGTCCCGTGGTTGTCTCGTGGTTGCCCCGTGGTTGTCCCATGTTTGCCCCGCGGTTGTCCCGTGGGTGCCCCGTCGATGTACCAGGTTTTACAAGGAGACCGATTGGCCTACATATATGTACATACATATGTCCGGAAACATGTATAGTGAGATCGATAGAGCGACTGATGTAGGAGAGCGGCAGACCCGATAGATGGACAGTGAGATCGATACATAGTGCGATCAATATATAGGTCGGCACCGAGATCGATGCATAAGTTGTCAACACGGTAGATCGGAGGCTGGGGTGCGAGATCGAAGTGAAACGGAGACCCCCGCCGGAAATCGGTGTCGGCCTCGTGTTCATGCCGTGCGCGCGGGCGAGATGAGGTTGCGTGCGCGGGGCGAGAGCAGTGATCCCGCCGTTGCCGCTGGGGCGAAGTCAGAGCAGATGTGTCTCCCCCTTCCCGCCCGCGGATTTGAGGAGAGGGTTGTCCCGTGGTTGTTTGCAGAGATCGGGCACCGTCGGATTCTGTGTACGAAGCCTTTTGGCCCGAGAGGCTTTCGGCTTGGAACGGACTGAGAAAAGGTTCATCAGTTTCTCTCTTCATGGTATTGCGGAGCCTGGTTGGATCCTCGGTCTGAGAGACCGCCAGGGAGATCGCTGGCTGGCTAGACGCGGCACGAGATGGCTACCAACGAAGAGCTGTTTCGACAGATGCAGGCCCTGACCGCGGAGGTGCAGAGGCTGAGCGAGGAGAACGCTCGACTGCAGCGCGAGCAGCAAGGCGGGCTCCAGGCCATCCCGGCCCTCGTGGATGCGGTGACCCGCCTGACGGGTAGGCCCGACCAGTTCCAGAGGCTCGTCGACACGAAAGGGATCGGCAAGCCCTCGGTGTTCGACGGGTCGGAGGCCAAGTACCGCGAATGGGCTGCCAAGTTCGAGTCTTTCGTAGTCGGAGTCTTCGGCGAGCAGTTCAGGGCGGTGTTGGAGTGGAGCGTTGAGCGGCACGACTCGATCGATCGCGGGCTCTGGCAGGCGGCTTTCGGGCCGCACAGTGAAGGCGAGATCGACCACATCGACGAGATGGTGGCGCAGCTGCACACGGCGATCCAGCAGCTCGTGACAGGCGAACCCTTCGACATCACTCAGAACGTCGACAAGGGCAACGGGCTCGAGTGCTGGAGGCGCCTCGCGAGGAGGTTCGACCCTTCCACCGGCGGGCGGAAGCGGAACTTGTTGAAGCTGGTCCTCTCGCCCGGGCGCTGCAAGCTCGAGGAGCTCGCGGGTGCCCTGGAGAGGTGGGAGGAGGCCGTGAAACGGTACGAGTCCAGGAGGGACGACGACGGCAACCGCGAGCGGCTCTCGGACAGCGTGCGGATGTCTGCCTTGGAGAGCCTGCTACCAGCTGAGCTCGAAGAACACGTTCTTCTCAACCAGAGCCGCCTGAACACCTACGAGCTGCTCAGGAGGGAGATCGCGTCGCACCTGGAGGCCAGGACCGGTGCTCGACTTCGAGACGCCCCGGTGCTCACCAAGACGCAGCGCGACCCCAACGCCATGGACATCGGCGCCCTGGTCCGCGCGTACCAGGGCGGGAAGGCCGGCAAGGACAAGGGCGGCAAGAGCAAAACGGGCACTGGCAAAGGCAAGGACGACAAAGTCAAGAAAGGAGGTAAGGGCTCAGGCCCGGGCTCAGGCAAGGGGTCTGACACGTCCCACCTCATCTGCTGGAACTGCGGGCGTTCGGGGCACAAGAGCTCGGACTGCTGGAGACCGTCGGCCTCGGCGGAGGTGATCGCCAAGGCTAAGGCTAAAGCCAAGGGCAAGCAGAAGCCGAAGGGCGGCGGCAAGCACGACGCGGGCGCGCTGGACGTCGGGAAGTCCGAGGAGGAGGCCCCGGGCAACTGGGAGCCAGAGGACCACATGTTCTTGGAGCTGTTCTCCGCCGAGCGCGAGGAGAGCGCGAAGGAGGTGAACAGGAGGATCGTGGACGACAAGGGCTGGGTGAAGGTCAACTTCGACAGTGGATGCGCGAGCTCGGTGATCCCCCGCGAATGGACTCCAGCGACTTCGGCCCCTTCGAGTCAGAGGTTCAAGACGGCGAGTGGTGGTATCATCTCAGACGAGGGCGGCGGGGTGCTGGAGGGCATCAACGAGAATGGCGCTAGGATGCGCATCGCCGGGCGCAGGGCTGCCGTTACCAAACCCCTCGTCTCGGCCAGCGAGATGCTCAAGAAGAGGATCGGCATCCTGGACGAGAGCTGCGGCATGGTGATTGAGAAGGGTTCCACTGCCGGACGGGCGATCATGAAGCTGGTCGCTAAGCTCAAGGAGACGGGAGCGCTGGAGGACAACATCAGGTTGAACCAGGAGCGCGGGGTGTACAACGCCTACCTGAAGTTGCCGGAGGAGAAGGCCAGGGAGCTGGAGCAGTTGCCGCTGAACACGATCGAGTCGGAGCTGGCCCATCGCCGAGCCGAGGCGGATCTACTCGCTCGAGCACGTGCAGGGCTTGCTTCGCCGGCCCGTCCTCCCGCCTTGCAGGCGTCGGGGGGCAGCTGGCGGGTACCACCGTAAGCCCGAGCGCGCCGCCAGCAGCCGGGCAGCTGGCAGGAGGCGCGGAAGCCCCGGTGGAGCAGCGAGGAGGACCGCTGCCCCAGGAGGAGGAGGCTCGAGAGCAGCGCGGCAGGCCGCCGCGGGTTCGGCTAGCTAGGAGCCCCGCCCAGCCGACCGCTCTCGAGATCGAGGAGCACGAGGCGCAGGGCCACGTTCACTTCAGGTCCTGGTGCCCTTCGTGCTGTGCGTCGCGTGGGACTGGCCAAGCGCATCGTGGACATCAACCTGCTGAGGGAGAGGCCCCTACGGTCGTCACCGACTACGGCTACCTCAACGCTAGCGAGTCGGACAGCAGAGGCCGCGACGTCAGCTCTGCGATCACGGTGTTGGTGATGCACGACTGCTTGCCGAGCGGGACGGGCTGCTACGGCGCGAGCTCGGCCCCGGCCAAGGGGAAGGGCGACTTCAGCTCGAGCGTGGCGGTCGACTTCTTCACTCACATCGGCCACAAGAGGTGCATCTACCAGTCGGACGGCGAGAACCCGCTGCTGGCGCTCAAGAGGGACGTCTGCAGCAAGGCCGAGGGGGAGGAGCTGCTGCTTCGCGAGAGCCCGGTGGGAGAGCACCAGGCGAATGGAGCAGCCGAGAACGCGGTGAAGGTCATCAAGGGCGTCGTCAGGACGGTGCTGGTGTCGGCCCAGGCCAAGTGGAAGCAGCGTCTGCCGTTCGGGCACCCGCTGATGCTGTGGGCCCCCACCTATGCGGCCCAGATGCTGAATAGGTTCAAGATCGGCGACGACGGCAAGACGAGTGAGCAGAGGAGGTCTGGCAAGCGCTGGGAGAAGGTGACGGTTCCCTTCGGCGAGCGCATCCAGGTGAAGAAGCTGGTGAAGGACTCGCTCAAGCGCGACCTGGAACCCCGCTGGGTCACGGGCTACTACGTGGGCCACACCAGCAGGAGCGGCACGGCGCTGGCGCTCACCTCGAAGGGGGTGCAGCGCGGCACGGCGATCTCACGCCTGCCGCCCGCCGAGCGCTGGGCCTGGAACGAGGAAGAGGTCCTCGGGCTCAAAGGCAAGCCTTGGGACTGGAAGGGCGGCGAGGAGCGCTACGCGGCAGCTCCGGCGGACGTCGCCCCGAGAGCCGGGCGCATGGATGCGCCAGTGGTGGTGGCGCTGCCAGCAGCCGCCGAGCCTCGAGACGTGGGCTTCTACGTCACCAGGGCCAACATCCTGGACGCGGGCATCGGGCCGACCGAGGGCTGCGTCGCCTGCGAGAACCTGGCGGCTACTGGGCGCGCAGGAGTTGCCCACTCTGAGCTGTGCCGACAGCGCGTGATCGAGGCGCTGGCGGCTCGAGGTGATGAGCGACTTCGCCGGTTCAGGGAGGCGAAGGCAGCTGAGGAGGAGCAGGCGAGAGGAGGCGAGGCAGGCCGAGCGGCGCCAGGAGCCGCCGCCGCCGCGCCGCCTCCCCCACCAGCCCCGAGAGACCTCGAGGGCAGGAGAGGCGCGAAGCAGGCGCGGGCGGATCCGCCGCCCGTGGGGTCTTCGGCGCCGCGCGTCAGGAGGCGCGAGGAGGAGCAGCCGCCCCAGGAGGCGCGTGCAGCCCCCCAGCCTATGGCGGTGGACCTTCGGGGCGCGGCCCCAAGGCCATCAGGAGGAGGTGCTGGAGAGCCACTCGCGCTCCCTACGCCGGCCGCGGGCCCTGGAGGCCCAGCGCCAGCATCCGCGGCGGCTTCGGGCTCAGGAGGCCCGGCGCCGGCGGCGGCAGCACCAGGCCCAGGAGGCGCTGGACCTGCTGCCATGGAGACGGGTGGACTCGAGGAGGTGCCGCTCGAGTTGCAGGCGCTCGCGTTCTCGGAGTACTGCAACCCGGGATGCTTCACTGAGCTGGCTGGGGAGTTTGGCATGCTCCCAGGGCTAGCGGCGGACATCAGCCTCAAGGACCGGGAGTCCCAGGAGGCGCTGGACATGAGGAAGGTCGTGAACCAGCAGAGGTACATGCAGGCGCTCGAGGACCAGGACCCCTACTTGGTCATCGGGGCGCCGCCCTGCACGCGCGTCTCGAAGCTGACGAGCTTGAACCGCGGCAAGCACAAGGACCCGGAGGCGCACGCCAAGGCCGAGGAGGACGATCGTGCGTCGCTTCGCTTCGGGATGGAGGTCTACAAGGATAGGCACGCCAAGGGCAGGTGGTTCTTGCACGAGCACCCTTGGGACGCCAAGTCGTGGGACGACGAGGCGGTGAAGGGGGTGGTCTCGCTCCCGGGGGTGTACCTCGCGCGAGGGGACATGCGCGCCTGGGGCCTAGAGCTCAAGGGCGACGACGGGAAGGTCGGGCCGGTCAAGAAGAGCACCGGCTGGCTGACCAACAACGAGCGCCTTGCTAAGGTGCTAGCAGTCTGTTGTCCTGGAGGACATCGACACGTACCGCTACTTGGCGGAGGCCGTGCTAGGAAGGCGCAGGCCTACACGCATTCGCTACGCCGCGCGATCTTGCAGGGGCTCAAGGAGGAGCTCGAGATCGCGGGCGAGATCAACTCGTTCGAGGGCGTCGGGCCGGTGCCAGACGAGGAGGCGCAGTACTTCAAGCCAGACGCCCCTCCAGGTGCAGCGGAGTCGGACAAGTGGTACTGGGACGACGTCAACGGGGGCTGGCTCGACCCTGCGGGAGTACGGGCCGCGCGCCAGGAGGAGCTGGCCTGGATGAAGCATCGCGAGGTGTTCGAGCCGAGCGACGAGGAGACCTGCAGGCGCCTGACCGGTCGGGCGCCGCTACGGACGCGCTGGGTCGACACCAACAAGGGCGACGAGCAGAGGCCAAAGTACCGCTCCAGACTGGTCGCGATGGAGATCAAGGCTGCGAAGAAGGCGTCCGAGCAGATGAGCGCGAGCGAGCTCTTCAGCAGTACGCCGCCGCTGGAGGCGGTCAAGCTCCTGTGCTCGCTCACGGTCTCGATGGGCCGCTCGCCCCGAGGACTCCCCCTCAAGATCGGCTTCTGGGACGTCAGCCGGGCGCACCTATACGGGGACGCCCAGAGGGTCTTGTTCGTTCGTCTTCCGGAAGAGGAAGGAGGAGGAGTCGCTCGGCTGCTACGTTCCATGTATGGTACTCAGGACGCGGCTTCAGTGTGGCAGAGCGACTGGAGTCGACAGCTCTTGGAAGATTCGTGGCGCATGGGCGTGGCAAGCCCAGCTGTGTTCTATCGTTCCAGTGATGAAGGCCGCGGGTTGGCTCACGGCGACGACTTCATGGTGCTCGGCGACGAGATCACGCTGAAGGAGATCGAGACGAAGCTGACCGAGCGCTACGACATCAAGTGCACCGGGATCTTGGGTCCCGACAGCGGGGACGCGAAGGAGGTCGTGTTCCTCAACAGGGTGTTGCGGTACGTTGACGGCTCCACCCCGGCGGCGGAGATCGAGTCGGACCAGAGACACGTGGAGCTGCTGATCAAGGAGCTTGGCCTCGAGAACGAGTCGAAGGGCTTAGACGTGCCGTCGGTCAAGAAGACGGAGGCGGACATCGACTACGAGGCGAAGCTCAGCACGTTGCCCCTGGACGAGGTTCGCCGGTATCGAAGCGTGGTGATGCGTGCTGCCTACCTCACCTTGGACAGGCCAGACATCGTCGACGCGGTCAAGCAGTGTTCGAGGCGCATGCAGGCGCCGACGTCAGCAGACATGATGATGGTCAAGAGGCTTGGGAGGTACCTCGTCAAGCACCCGTGCCTAGTCGCGAGGTTCAACAAGCAGAAGATGCCGGACAGGATCACGGCCACCTGCGACTCGGATTATGCGGGCTGCCTCATCACCAGGAAGTCGACCAGCGGGACCGTCCTGGCGCTCGGGGAGCACACTCTGTCGGCCACGGGATTGCTGCAGAGCACGGTGTCCCTTTCGAGCGGTGAGGCCGAGTACTACGGCATCCTCCGTGCGGCTGCTGCCGCGCTCAAGGTTGCTGCCATCGCCGTGGACCTCGGGCTCGAGAAGAGCGTCGAGGTCGTCTGCAAGCACGGAGAGTTCCCGATAGAGGTCTGCGGGGACTCGACGGCGGCGATCGCGTTCGCATCGCGCCAGGGCCTGGGTCGTCAGAAGCATGTGATGACGAGATACCTGTGGCTTCAGAGCGCGGTCAAGGCCAAGAGGATCATGCTCAAGAAGGTCGACACACGGGAGAACGTGGCCGACTCCTTGACCAAGCCGTTGTCGGCGAAGGTGGTCCAGAAGCATCTCAAGAGGATGGGGTACCACTTCAGGTCGAGGTGGAGCGCCCTGCACCGGACGATCGCCAAGAGATCGGCGACGTGAGGTTCATGAGCGGGGTGCTGTGCCAGCTTTTCGTGACGGGCACGTTGCCCGTCCCACCATTTTCCTGTCGCTTCGCGACGCTTTCACGACCGGCCTGTGCGGCGAGACGGTGCCTGGTGGTGGCTGCCTAGCTTAGGGGCTAGTTGCCAAGGAGGAGTGCAGAGATCGGGCACCGTCGGATTCTGTGTACGAAGCCTTTTGGCCCGAGAGGCTTTCGGCTTGGAACGGACTGAGAAAAGGTTCATCAGTTTCTCTCTTCATTGTTCCATGGCTGTCCCGTGATTGTCCTGATGGTCGTCCCGATGGTCGTCCCGATGGTCGTCCCGATGGTTGTCCCGATGATTGTCCCGACGACTGTCCCGATGGTTGCCCCGACGGTAGGTTGATAGATTGATCGTGAAACCAATAAGTAGGTAGCGAGGCCAGATATATCGACAAATAGATTTACAGTGACACCGATAGCTATACAGCGATATCGATATATAGACAGCGAGACCGATAGATGAACTGTTATATCGATCGATGTATATAGATAGCGGCATTCATAGATATATAGTGTTACTGATTGGTAGACAGATCAGTAGATCTTGTTCGATGGGTGGAGGCAGTTGCCCCGATGGTGTGTGCCATCTTCCGTTCCACACATATCTGTGTATATACATATGTATATATACATGTATCCTGATCGGCCCTCGGCTGGCCTTGTAGATGTCGATATCGACCGATTGATCGATCATGAGATGTGTATGTTGGCAGTGAGACGGGTAGATGTTTAGATCGACGGCCCCTGGCTGTCCCTTGGTTGTGCCGTGATTGTCCCGCGGTTGTCCCGTGGTTGTTGTCCCGCGGTTGTCCCGTGGTTGATCCGTGGTTGTCCCGTCGTTGGCCCGTGATTGTCGCGTGGTTATCCGTGGTTGTCCCGCGGTTGTCCCGACGATTGTCCCGAGAATGCCTCTTTCGGGCCGCCTTGGAGCCCAGGAGTTGTCCTGAGCCGTCGGGGGGGCTTCTGGAGGCTCCCAATCAACTCCGTGAGACTCTTTGGTTATCCCCAGGTTCTTGGAAACCATCTTGTGTCGAGAGCCCCAGGAAACGCAACATATTCCAAGACAAGCGATGGTTGCTCGAGCAAGCTTGACATTCCTGGAGGGCATCATGACTTTCTCTAGGACCCTAGGATGTGTTTGAAGCCTCTTGGGGCCCCTTTGCCAACTCTTGGGGTCGTCTTGAGATATGTTGGGTGCCTCCTGGCGCAATGTTGAGCCATCTTGGCGTCCTTTGTGGCCTTCCCAGGCAATTCTTGGAGGGACGTGGAGAGCCCCAGGAAAGCTTCGGGCTCCCTGGAAGTCTCAGGAGAGGGGGATGCACGCGGGTCAGTGCGTCGAAGAGGGGTGGAGGGGGAGCGCGGCCCAGAAATTACCATACCTGACAGCATTTGGCACTCTGCCAAGCCTGGCGCGATGGGGATGCCACGCATTCGAATGTGCCAGGGGGCACGGTGGCAGATTGATGAATATCCGACAGGCCCAGAGGCAGCTCATGACGACCTCGGGGCTGAACGCACCACTGACCAATGAGGGCTTCCTGACCGTGGCAAGATGGAACAGCATCTTCCAGATGGAGGCGTTCCTGTACAGAGTGATTACGCACCAGGGTGGCCAGGTGGTGTCCGAGCGTCACCTCCACGATTTCGTGGCCAGAGGGTTCGGGGACCTGCTCGACCCGACCAGAGGCTTCGAGGAGGACGACACCTCGCTGACGCTCCAGGATGTTGTGGGCGTCATGAAGACAATGAAGCACATGGTCGCAGTGCAGGGAAAGGACGTGGATGATGCCGTGATCAAGCGGGGGAGCATAGTGAGAATCCACGAGAGGCGGCGCGCGACGGTCGGCGCTGTCCTCCCAGCGGAGGGCGAGAACGGGCAGACGCGTTACGTCGTCCACTACGACGAGATGTACCCGACCGAGGAGCAAGATGAGGAGGTCCTGTACGAAGAGCAGCTGCACATCTCAGGAGACCCGACACGGCCTGAGCATAAGCGTGTCGGAGGTCCGCGCGGAGTGCTTGGGTCGGCGTCGGGCAACTTTCGCCACCCTGAGGCGACGCTTGCGGTCAGCCCCCAGCGAGTGAGGGGAGCAGGTTCCAGCGCCGACCCCGGAAGTCCGCGCGGACGTTCGAGATTGTGTGTTTCTGTCGTCTCGCGTCTTCTGCATCCGCACCGAGATGCCCAGGATTCCGACAATCCTCCTCCCTGGCAAGGTCAAGGAGACCATTCGATTTGTTGCTTGGCAGATAGATTATTCTCGCTTCGCGAGATGTACTTCCAGAGCACGTAAAGACCAATCGTTGTGAGGCCTCCTGGGAACCTCTTGGGAGCTTCTTGGAGGCCTCTTGGGCCCCCTGGGGGCCTCTTGGGGGCCTCTTGGGCAGTCTTGGGGCGCTCTTGCGCCGTCTGGCCTCTCCAGAAGCCGTTTGGTAGGCCTTTTTGGGCCGCCTTGGGTCTCTTGGTTTCCACTTGGGCCGTGTCGGGGGCCTCTTGGACCGTCTTGGGGCCTGTTTGGGGCTCTCTCGGGGCCCTCTGCGGTCGTTGTGGGCAGTCATGGGCTTCTGAAAGTTGGAAAAAGCGAGAACGCTAAAATCCTTCCACAACTTATAGAAAATAATTGATTTGGGCCTTTGGAGGCGCTCTTGGGGCTGCTCCTTGGGCCCTCTTGGGCCGTCTTGGGTGCGTTTTTTGGCTCTTGGAGTAATCTTCGACTGTCTTGGGGCCGCTCTGGCCCCTGACGAGGCAATCTTGAGCCATCTTGACGCCCTCTTCGACCCCCAAGAGGCCAAAGGCCCAAATCACTGATTGTCCTTCGGTTTTTGTAAGTCTGGAGGCCCAGAAGGGGTTCTCCATTTCTGGGTCGGCGGAAGTTGCCCGGCCTCTGGGCGGGGCCGGGGGGGTACATTACAATGACACGCTACACAAGATGTAGCTCTTCTACAGTGCTTGCATGCGTTGGATACGCTGCAGTACAGTATCCGCAGAAAACGCGGACGCTCAGCACGTCTCCTCCGCACGTGGGTTCCACTCGCTTCGCGGGGTGCGCGTCCGGAGTACGTACAGTCTAGCCGTTGCTGGGCCTGGTGGGAGCCCGTTTGGGGCCTCTTGGGGACTTTTTGGGCACTCTTGCGGTCTCCAGTGGGCCCTCCTCGGGGGTCTTGGGCCGGCTTGGGGCGCTTTGGCGCCGTTTGGCCCCTTCAGGTCTTGGGGGCCTCTTGCGGCCGCCTTGGGGCTCTGTTGAGGTCATCTTGGGCCGTCTTGGGGGCCTCTTGGACCTTCTAGGTGGCCTGTTTTGGCCGTCTTCGAGCTTTCCTGGGCCGTCTTGGGGCCCCCTTGGAAACCTCTTGGGCTTTCTTGGAGGCTTATTGGGCCGTCCTCGCTTTCTGAGAGCGGAAAAAGGCGAGGACCTTGGAGGCGCTTTTGGGGGTCCTCTCAGGGCTATCTTGAGCTGTTTGGGGGGCCTCTTGGGCCCTTTCGGGGCCATCCTGGGCCGTTTGGGGGACGTCTTGGCGCGTTTCGAGGCCATCTTGAACCATCTCTCGGCCCTCGTGAGCTTCCAAGAGGCCCAAGAGGCCGAAATAATGAATGTTCCAACGGTTGAGTATGTTTGGGGGACCCAGAAGGGTCCTCCATCTTTGGGTCGACGGAAGTGGCGTGGCCTCGGGGGATCAGGGTTAGGGGGGGAGACAAAATAATGTGACATAGTAGAATGTGTAGCAATTATGTTGCCACAATTTGTTGAAGGTAGCAACTTTGTAATTGTTGGAAACATCGTAATTAAGTAAGAAGTAGATACATAGGATATGCCTCGGGGAGCACGTCACTTCAGGACGCCACGATCCTCGTGAAGGGTGTGCGGACATGGGGGTGTCGGACGCATGCGGGCTGCGCCCTTGGGACCTTCGGTGGAGCTCCATGTGGGGCCACGATCCTCGTGAGGGGAGTACCGAAATGAGCGAGCGGGTCGGACGCATGCGTGTTGCGCCCGAGCCCCCTATGGGTCCACGGTCCTCGTGAGGGGTGTGCCGACAGGGGTGGGTCGGACGCGTGCGGGCGGCGCTTTTGGGGGACCTTCGGTGGGCCCCCCTATCGGGCCGCGATCCTCGGGAGGGGTGTGCCGACGTGGGCGGGTCGGACGCATGCGTGTTGCGCCCCTGGGACCTGTGGAGGATCGTGAGGGGTGTGTGTGTGTTTTTGTTTTGTTCCCAACCATCCTGTGGTGTTGGGTCCTCGTTTTGAAGAGACGGTGCCCGCGTCCTCTCCTCTCCTCCTCTTCCCCCTCCTCCCTCCTCCCCCTCCTTGCCTCTGCTCTCGGCACACCTCTCACGCGTTTCGTAGCCCCATAGGGAGCTCCACCGAAGGCCCCAGTGGGGGTGTCCACATGCGGTTCCCCCACCCAGGGCAGCGTTTCGTGGCCCCATAGGGAGCTCCACCGAAGGCCCCAGTGGGGGTGTCCACATGCGGTTCCCCCACCCAGGGCAGCGTTTCGTGGCCCCATAGGGAGCTCCACCGAAGGCCCCAGTGGGGGTGTCCACATGCGGTTCCCCCACCCAGGGCAGCGTTTCGTGGCCCCATAGGGAGCTCCACCGAAGGCCCCAGTGGGGGTGTCCACATGCGGTTCCCCCACCCAGGGCAGCGTTTCGTAGCCCCATAGGGAGCTCCACCGAAGGCCCCAGTGGGGGTGTCCACATGCGGTTCCCCCACCCAGGGCAGCGTTTCGTGGCCCCATAGGGAGCTCCACCGAAGGCCCCAGTGGGGGTGTCCACATGCGGTTCCCCCACCCAGGGCAGCGTTTCGTGGCCCCATAGGGAGCTCCACCGAAGGCCCCAGTGGGGGTGTCCACATGCGGTTCCCCCACCCAGGGCAGCGTTTCGTAGCCCCATAGGGAGCTCCACCGAAGGCCCCAGTGGGGGTGTCCACATGCGGTTCCCCCACCCAGGGCAGCGTTTCGTGGCCCCATAGGGAGCTCCACCGAAGGCCCCAGTGGGGGTGTCCACATGCGGTTCCCCCACCCAGGGCAGCGTTTCGTGGCCCCATAGGGAGCTCCACCGAAGGCCCCAGTGGGGGTGTCGCATGCGGTTCCCCCACCCAGGGCAGCGTTTCGTGGCCCCATAGGGAGCTCCACCGAAGGCCCCAGTGGGGGTGTCCACATGCGGTTCCCCCACCCAGGGCAGCGTTTCGTAGCCCCATAGGGAGCTCCACCGAAGGCCCCAGTGGGGGTGTCGCATGCGGTTCCCCCACCAGGGCAGCGTTTCGTGGCCCCAGGGAGCTCCACCGAAGGCCCCAGTGGGGGTGTCCATGCGGTTCCCCCACCCAGGGCAGCGTTTCGTGGCCCCATAGGGAGCTCCACCGAAGGCCCCAGTGGGGGTGTCCACATGCGGTTCCCCACCCAGGGCAGCGTTTCGTGAAGGCCCCATTCCCCACCCAGGGCGTTTCGTGGCCCCATAGGGAGCTCCACCGAAGGCCCCAGTGGGGTGTCCACATGCGGTTCCCCCACCCAGGGCAGCGTTTCGTGGCCCCATAGGGAGCTCCACCGAAGGCCCCAGTGGGGGTCCACATGCGGTTCCCCCACCCAGGGCAGCGTTCCCCCACCCCCCCAGGGGGCAGCGTTTCGTAGCCCCTCCACCGAAGGCCCCAGTGGGGGTGTCCACATGCGGTTCCCCCACCCAGGGCAGCGTTTCGTAGCCCCAGAGGGAGCTCCACCGAAGGCCCCAGTGGGGGTGTCCGCATGCGGTTCCCCACCCAGGGCAGCGTTTCGTAGCCCCAGAGGGAGCTCCACCGAAGGCCCCAGTGGGGGTGCCCGCATGCGGTTCCCCCACCAAGGGCAGCGTTTCGTGGCCCCACAGGGAGCTTCACCGAAGGCCCCAGTGGGGCTGCCTGCATGCGGTTCCCCCACCCAGGGCAGCGTTTCGTAGCCCCATAGGGAGCTCCACCGAAGGCCCCAGTGGGGGTGTTCGCATGCGTCTCCACTACCCAGAGGTAGCGCCGCCGAAAACGATATTCACACTTGCGGTATTCACAGTTGCATATGGTTGGGTCCTTCGCCAGGCTAATTTTTTTCCCAACCATCCTGTGGTGTTGGGTCCTCGTTTTGAAGAGACGGTGCCCCGCGTTTCTCCTCCTCCTCGCCCTCCTCCCCCTCCTTGCCTCTGCTCTCGGCACACCTCTCACGCGTTTCGTAGCCCCATAGGGAGCTCCACCGAAGGCCCCAGTGGGGGTGTCCACATGCGGTTCCCCCACCCAGGGCAGCGTTTCGTGGCCCCATAGGGAGCTCCACCGAAGGCCCCAGTGGGGGTGTTCGCATGCGGTTCCCCCACCCAGGGCAGCGTATCGTAGCCCCATAGGGAGCTCCACCGAAGGCCCCAGTGGGGGTGTTCGCATGCGGTTCCCCCACCCAGGGCAGCGTTTCGTGGCCCCATAGGGAGCTCCACCGAAGGCCCCAGTGGGGGTGTTCGCATGCGGTTCCCCCACCCAGGGCCGCGATTCGTGGCCCCATAGGGAGCTCCACCGAAGGCCCCAGTGGGGGTGTTCGCATGCGGTTCCCCCACCCAGGGCAACGTTTCGTGGCCCCATAGGGAGCTCCACCGAAGGCCCCAGTGGGGGTGTTCGCATGCGGTTCCCCCACCCAGGGCAGCGTTTCGTGGCCCCATATGGAGCTCCACCGAAGGCCCCAGTGGGGTGTTCGCATGCGGTTCCCCCACCCAGGGCAGCGTTTCGTAGCCCCATAGGGAGCTCCACCGAAGGCCCCAGTGGGGGTGTTCGCATGCGGTTCCCCCACTCAGGGCAGCGTTTCGTGGCTCCATAGGGAGCTCCACCGAAGGCCCCAGTGGGGGTGTTCGCATGCGGTTCCCCCACCCATGGCAGCGTTTCGTAGCCCCATAGGGAGCTCCACCGAAGGCCCCAGTGGGGGTGTCCACATGCGGTTCCCCCACCCAGGGCAGTGTTTTGTAGCCCCATAGGGAGCTCCACCGAAGGCCCCAGTGGGGGTGTCCACATGCGGTTCCCCCACCCAGGGCAACGTTTCGTGGCCCCATAGGGAGCTCCACCGTAGGCCCCAGTGGGCCTGCCGCATGCGGTCCCCCCCCCCCACACAGGGCAGCGTTTCGTAGCCCCATAGGGAGCTCCACCGAAGGCCCCAGTTGGGGTGCCCGCGTGCGGTTCCCCCACCCAGGGCAGCGTTTCGTGGCCCCATAGGGAGCTCCACCGAAGGCCCCAGTGGGGGTGCCCGCATGCGGTTCCCCCACCCAGGGCAG